ACGATTTAATGTTCTTAGGACAGGATTCCTCTTGAAAGGAAAGGTACTTTAAAAGCTACCTTTGAAAAGCAGAACAGATCAACCTATGTATCTAAACTGAGGTCTCGAGTTGTTCTTCTATGCATGACATTGGACAGATTAATTCATAAGTGCCGCCGCTTTCCAATAGCAGATGTATGATGGGCTCTATGACAATATACTAGAGTTAACAGCAGAGAAAAGAATGTGACAAGAAGTCACGGATCAGAAGAAATCCAATAAAATAGATGTTGAGAGAATCCTTGCAGTCAGCCTGCCAGGGCACCCACCCACCGGCACGAGCAGCAGCAGGGCTGGCCCCAGCGTGGTACACTTCTCCTCTTTCCAGAAAAGCAGCTGGACGCTGTTTCTCCATTCTAGGAAATCAGTGTGCTCTTTGGGACACATGGAGCACTTACGGTCCAGAAGATAACGTCATACCTGCCTTGTACCGTCGGCCAGGGGTCTGACACTACTCCTGAAGACTGCTATTTCATTTTTTTTTCAGACTGGGATTTCATTTTTAGTGGAAGACTCTCGTATTGCCATGTTCTCTGACCTACTTGCACATCTCCAGTGGCCTTCATTTAGAATAGGTTTTTTTTTCAAAAATTCAGTTTGCCTTGGTAATTTCTTTCACTTCTAAACATATTAATACTCAACAGATCAAGAGTTAAAACATTTAATCCTATGTTCTTCTGTTTTCTGTTTTTTCTAAAGGATGAGTCATATGAGTACGGATGGCCTTTTGTTATTCTTTAGTAAACTCAAACAAGAGTATTTATTCCCTCATTAGAAAAACAATAAATCAGCAAACAGAAAAATGTGAAACAATAATTTTTAAAAAATCTTGGCTGTATCTTACAGTTACTGTTCTTTTTTTATTTAAAAAAAAAAAAAAGGCATTCATAAAATGTGCTGGATTGCTAGTGCTGAAGCCTAAAACCTGGAACCTTGCTATGCTGAGGTCCCATGTGAACCAATAGCTGAAGTACAGTACACTTGAGCCCTTCTGGGAACTACATGTACTGTCTGTGATTTGAGCAGAGACAACAGAGACAGCAGCCGGTCCCTGAGCAGAGCCAACAGAGTGACTGTTTGATTTGCACGATGTGCCCCCACTTTCTACACAAACCCCATGGTAGAAAGGATAACCTACTTTTTATGATAATTTCTTCTCAGACTGCTCTTCTAATGGATTTAACAGGGGTTTGTTACTTGAAGATATAGCAAAACATGATTTTTTGTGATTGCATAAAACTAAGCATAGACACAAATTCACAACCAAGTTTATTCTTAAATTTATAAATATTTTCTGCCATTTTATGTTATTTTGATGTCCAACAACCACAAGTTGTAGAGCACAAAAGCCTTTACAAGACACTCTCCTGCCACAAAGTATTGTAGCTATTTCATTAACTACTTTCTCAGGTCGATAGGACTGTGGTATTTCTTTAAAAAGTGAAGGTCTGGTTTTTTTCAGTTGTACAGTGGAAATCTGAATTAGAGACAAGACGAAAGGATTCCTTATAAAATAATTTTGACACCTCAGTGAAAAGGAGGAGCATTCTCACAAAGGCGTTGGGCCAATGTTCTAAATTAACAGATTTCATCATTGGCGACAAGAGTAGGTGCGTGTTCAGTACAGAAAAACCACGCCCTGGCCATAGATTTTGAATTCCCCAGCATTTGGTACACCCAAAGGTCATTAAACTAGTTTGGCTTGTGGCCTCCTGCTGTGAAGAGAAAATGCTGTGGGTGCTGTCTGCTTCACCCGTATGCAGTCATAATGTTGGCTCTGCCTTAAGAGCCTTCACAGCTGTGCTGTAACACAGTTAGTTCCCAACATGACTCAGATGAAGGATTTTATTTAATCTGCACAGGACTTTTGCAAAAAAGAGAATTTTCGTTTGTGAAAACCATCAAAGCTGTGCAAAACCGAAAACAGAGCGCATGAACAAGAGGTTGTGTCTCAAAAGTTGATTTCCCATTGTCTTAGGAAAAAATTTCAGTGAAAATGGAAAGATGGGAGAAGAATTAAACAACTTAATTGACGTGGCCACCTTAATTCCTGTAATTATCCATTAAGATATCAGTCATATTTTGCATTACTTCTAGATCATAAACAGGAATGGTTAAAGAAGTGCATGGGTCTTTTTTGTTTAGCGGCTCTTTTGTTTGGCAAGCTCCTCCGCCAGCTCCCTCAGCACTATCCGGTGGATCCCATCCAGCCCCATAGACTTGTGAGCGTCCAGGTGGCGTAGCAGGTCGTTAGCAGGACGTGAAAAGAAGACTTTGGTCATAAAGTGTCCATGGATGTTCAAGGAAAGTTGTGCTACAGTCTGTTCAGGCCAGGTAATTAAAACAAAATGGTGAATGCCCAGTCAAAAGGAATTGATTCATGATGGTAAATGGCACTTGCCTCATCGTTTTACACTAGAATTATAAATTCAATTCTACAACCGCTGTTATGTGAAGGTAGCACTGATGAGAAATTCCAGTGTAGCTGAGCATTGCCATTTGTTATTTGCTGAACCACAGCAAATATACTGCAGAACCCAAGGAAGATAAGGTCCATAGGTTATTTTGGTTTTTATGGGAGGAAATCATTAAGTGATATTGGTTATGCTTCTATACAGAAACCTCAGGATTCATTTCTGTACAAATTCAAGTATACAGATTGATATTCCAATGCCTGTAGGAAATAGTAGGTGTCATGGATTAATCTGGGTTCTTAATCTAGTTAGAGACTAGTTTAATATCCAAGGTGAACAATCCAGAACTGTTCTTAGAATTTAAATTTTACTTGAGCAATCAAGTGATGTTCTGTAAAAATTGAAGGGAAGCATCAGTGAAAATAATGGGCTCACCAAGGGTGTTCTCTTTTTTTGAAAGGATAAACTTAAGAAATATAGAGAAATGTTTATTGTGGTCAAAGGGGCTGAAAAATTTGTAGAATTTAATATGAAAGTCGCTTTAAGCCAAAGACCATGAGCAAATTTCTCTTATTTTTTCCTTGGCTATTTAAATGTGAACACTTACCATGTAACACTCATTAAGTTTCATGTAAATTAAATAATTACTGTGATGAACATGTAGGCATTAATACAGAAAACAGAGTGGCAATAAAAAACTGATCTGCATGCAATTTTGATAAACAGTTAATTTAGTTTAGTTCTCATTCCATAGCTGAGAATGGTTTGGATCCAGTGTTTGGTCTGTTTGTGCATTTCTATTGAAGAAAGCCAAACAAATCAATCCAGGTATTATTAGATATTGTGGTTCTAATTTATGTCCTGAGCATAACTCCAAAAGAGAAGAAAACCTTATAGGCCCGTGCATAAAAAATTGAAGCATTTTGTCTTACGTTCTAGGAAGTGGTTATCTGTTTGTTGATTGTAGCTACTCGAAGTTTATAAACCAAACCTGTTAAGTAACATGATACTGGATATGAAAACCCAAAGCTGCATGAAATAATTCCACCATCCCAACAGAGACAACGTGGAAAATTGGGGGGGTATTTAATTCATGCAAAAAAGTGTTGTGTAATTCCTTTGAAATGTATCAAGCCATTCATACTTTATGAGTGTATAAGACACAGAAGACACCCTCAGGGTGTGTGAAAAAGGTATCAAATTATTTAAGATCTTTTCATACTTGCTTCAACCTCTTTCACCTCAGGTGACCCCAATAGAAGAGGACCTTCCAGTTTAAGTGCAAATGTATTTCAGATAAATAGGTTTTGAAATGAGACCCCATACCTATCAGGTTAAAACCTCAAGCTGCTCTTATTTTGTTATGCATACAGAGATATGGGTCCCTTTTTTGAGATGACAGTTCATGACATTAATGAATTATTGATAGGAGGGATGGTTCCCTGGGTCACTGTAATCTCAGCAACACTTAAAAACAAATGAATGAGCACTCCTGCAGTTAATGACCTGGATCAAATTAATCCACTGAGAGTAGCAATTAGTTTGGTCATTATTTTAGCAGAGATGCACACTGTGACAGCTTTCTGCATTCACTTTGGACTCTCCCAAACTTGTACTTAAAGCTACCTTCCCAGCAAAACTACATTCATAACAAAACCTGCTTAAGCCATCTTATCTGGAAAATAAGTTTGTGTGTTCTGATCCTGTTCTCAGTAAAGTTTTGAATGGAATAAAGAAAGAACTAGGCTTAAAAGGGATTAGTAGTCTCAAGATTTCTTTTTTTTTTTTTGCCCGCTATACCTTCTTGTTTGAGGAGCAAACAGTAAAGAAAAAGGTGGTACTTGTTCTGCATTCCTTTCAAATGCTGTAATGACAGCATCAAACCGAATTATTTGAAAAGTTTTAGTTTGGGAGATTGGTTCCTCTGATTTGGGATCTTGTTTTCTTTTTTTTTTTTTTATGTTTGCTTTCTCCGCAGGTCACACAAAATCATGGTGTGAGGCAGATATGGTGAGAAAAGCACTGGAACAGAATTGTTGCCATTTTCAGGCCTCCCTTTCATTAACTCTGATTGCTCATCAGCAGAAATACCCAGGTTTCCTCCTCCACTTCTGGGATTCTTTCCATTTGTGTGGCCACATCAGGTACCTACTTTTCATCTTTGCTAGGGAGCACTAAGAATTAAAAATCCTCTTTGGGCTGTACCCATTGACTCCTAATTAACATGAAAAAATGCTTTACCACAGAGGCTTTACCACAGGACTTCTTTTTTTTCACATGCATATATCTCACATACAACGCACACTGACTCTTCATATACAGTCTCAGTGTGCATTTCGTATGCACACAAAAGTTCCAGATGTGCTGTGTATCTTGTTTAGTTGACTTTATTCTTCTGTAAAGCCAAGAGAAATATTAATCATTCATTTACTGTTAGGGGATGGGTCTTCTTCTCATGTTTCAGTAAAGGGGGTGGAAAAGTAAAGTAAGCCAATTTTTTTCCTATTTAAGGCCAAAGCTGGGGAATGCTTGTGGCTGAGTTCTGTACATGGCCCGGTGCTGGAAGGGCAGGGAACAACCGATGTTGCTATTTTGAATAGATTTTTCTTCCCCCCCCCCATTTTTATTTTTGCACAGAGAGTCTCATGTCTAATATTTAGACATGATGAGCTTTGTGCAAAAAGTAACTTTGCTCATTCTTGCCGTGTTTCAACCCTCAGTTATTTTGGCACAACAAGACGGTGAGTAATTCAAGCTTCTTATGATTTAATGGTTTTATTTTATTTTTATTTTCACCAAAGATTTTAATCGCTTGTAAGAAATGTGTATTCACAAATCTCACCAGAACACTTTTCCTTCACTAATTCAGCAGAGTCAGATATTTAATGCTGAAGCTGAAAGCTGCAGGAGTTTGCATTACCATCCCAAAGGTTTCTCTTAGCTTTGCTTTCTTCTGTGGTTAAAAGGACCGTACAGTACTGTCTGCCTTTGTTCTTCTTCTTACTTGTCTTCCTATTACAGACACCGGAGAGTTTTTAAACTATTTCTTTTAACTCTTGGAATAACATTTTAACTGCTAGCTCTGTGTTGCCTGGAAGTTATTTGTCACAAGCAATAAGTCTTTGCTTCCAGCTTTTTTGTTTGGAGTTCTCCTTTGTACTTGTATGTTTTCCACCGGCAGCATGGGGGTTTATTTAAACAATTTGCATGCGGAAAACCGCCTTAAAATTCTAACCAGTTTTGATGAAACAGTTTTTAAGAGCGATATATGAAAATATGTCAGCTTACGGGATTTTTACTTTGACATAAAGCAGGAGGGTAAATTAATTCCCTCAGCTGAAATAGTTTGAATTGTGCATCTGCAGGCTGTTTCGGTCCCTCATGAGACTGATTAGCAGCTGATGGTATCTGGGTCCGTGTGAGTATGTGTGTGCATGTTTCCAGAGAGCGAGAACACCAAAAACCAAGCGAACATGGAATTTAGAGGGGAAAAAATATACTTTGTATACAATAATTCAACTTAGAGTGAAGATAAGTGTGGTATGAGTATTTAAGTTAAACAGATGACATTCCACAAGTACAGCTGACCTTTTTTGGATGTGCTCTGTTCCTGCTTGCCAGACATTGTAAACCAGACCTTCCTTAAGATAAAACATTTTTCTTTCTTGTAAATATAAAAGATCTGCAATGTATTTATTCTTGCATCGAGGCAATGAATAACTTTACAAATAACTTGATAAGCACCAGCCAAATAAACTAGTGGAGTAAAGGAAAGCCAAATGCCTTTAAAACCACACCCTACCCTAGTCTGTATGATACAAATCATGAAAACGATTACTTTAGCCATTTCATGGCAAATCTATCTGCTTCAGCATACCTGGAAAGGCACCTCTGCTGGGGGGGCGACTGTGAGTCCACCAGCAGGCTGTTGGCAGTGGAGCAGTTGGAGCTCAGGGGGCTCTGTGCATGAGCAAATCAGGTAATATCATCTGCAACAGCAGCATGCCCAAATACCAGCTTCCCTCACCAAGCACAGACAGAGGCTAAGCTTTGTAAAGTAAAGTATCTGAAAAAAAACGATGCGTATAAAGATGTTCTGTAGAGAATAAACATAATATACTGTGAACTGATGCTTTTCTGTTTCTGCTTTTCCAGTATATAAACTGTCTTTTCAGTAATCCTCAGTGAAGAAAATATAAAATTTGAGCAAATGTATGCTATGTTTTCTCTGCTGACAGCAGCAAATAATACACATGTTGCATATATTTAATATTCATTATGTATTTTTTATACATATATATATCTTCAGAGGGATAAGGACGAAGGGACCGTCCAATATAAAAAGAAGGAACAGTTTTATTTCTTCCAATAAACAAA